CGCTCCCCTCGGGCGGGGGGGGCCGGGGCTGTGCGCTCCCCGCGGGCGGGGGGGTGAGGAACATGCCGCCTCTGTGGGGCAGAGCCCCCTGTGCAGTTCCAGACGGGCTGTCAGCGAGCGGGCCTGCTGCTCAGGGGCCTCCCACTGCCCCCCTAACGGAACAGGGTTAAAAGACGGTGTCGCCGGGAAGCGTTTTCTTTGGTGTCTCTCCTGCAACTTGCCCGAGGGGAGCTGGTGTTACAGCTCTCAGCAGGGTCTGTCGGACCAGAACTGCTTATAGACCTGATCCACCAGCAGCCCGGGAGGGCGAGGGACTGAAGGTGTATTGGCTGAAGGCTAACAAGTTGCCTGCATCCATGAGCAGACTGGAAGAAGACTGAAGATGACCAACAGTGATGCCGTGGAGCACAAAGATCAGCCTGTGCCTAGGGAATTCTAGGATTTGATGCGGAGGGTAGGGAAGGCAGTGCTGCAGAGCAGATGTACACGGTGGCCCCAGGGGGTTTTGGCCCCCACACACAGCTCTGACGAACAAGGAGAACAACTTTTGTCTTGTATAAAATTGCTGTTTTCAAAGTGGCTTATGCCTGAGTTGGGGGTCTAGTGAAGAAGCGTGTGGTGTCCGGAACTTGCAGGGACTAGAGCTGAGTAGTGAAAGTGAGACCCTCAGGGATAAATTTCAGAACTGCATATGCTAGAAAATTAATTCCCTGAACTAAATCTGAAGACAGCATTCTGTCAGTAGCGTGAGAACAGAGATTGTATGCAACTGTCACTGTGGAGCTGCTATTGAAATCTGACCCAAATGCCATTCATTATATTAAGTTTGTGAAGTGAGGCACTCAAAAACTAGAAAGGCCAAAGTCCAGGCCAGTGCACCTAGTGGCCTATCAAGGAAAAGTCTGTTCAAGGACAAAGGAAGTAAGGATCTAGTCTAGAGCATGTCTGCTTTTAAATTGGGACTAACTCAGTACAAATTGAGAGAGTCAGGGAGCTTCAGCCCAGTCTGTTAGGGGAAGAGAATGGCTGACTTCCTTTGTTGGACCCTTCTCTGCAGGTGGTGAACTATGCTCCCTTGACACTGCTCCCCTCTGCAGTCCCAAGCACCCTCTTTGAGCAAGCCTATGCTGTTCAGCAAGATTTTAACCTACTTGTGGATGCTGTTAGCCAGAATGTGGGATTCCTGGAACGTGCTCTTGCTAGGTATTTATGGTTCTAGATATATTAACTATACAGATACTTTAATGTATTTATATTCTTTTTAGGGGTGCTCTCTTTCCCGACCAGACACCATTCATGGTAATGGCATCTGGGCTGCCCATTTGGGGAAGCTGGCAACCCTAGTCCTGCTGCTCTTAATCTTAGTCTGTTTTTGCTCTTAATTCTTGAATTGCCCTCGGTCACCTCCACTGATCATTTACGCACATCCCTCAAGTTCTGCAGGTTTAGGCAGACGTTTAAATGCCCCACTTCTGCTACCACTTACTCTCTGTCTGCCAAACTGGTCATGGAACCAGTAGCTCCTTTTCTCCACTGACACTTCATAACGTGGTTGCCAGTAGTCCATAAGTAGTTAGGTGTATCAGACGCTACATTGCAATTTACATTAGTAGTTTTGTTAGTTGTTTTCATTAAGATTTTTGGGTCTGGTTAAGCCTTGCAAAAGATGACTGATCCATAGGGGGACTGGGAATGGCTTCACTTGCCTCAGTGTGTGCCCCACCTCAGATGGCCTTACAGAGTTTATCCTACCACCAGGGAGCCTGCTTGGCATTTAAATTCAGTATTAACCAAACTCTGAGCTCTTGAGATCTTGCTCTTTGTAGTACTACTTGCTGAAGGTTTTGTTGCTGGCTGCCAGGAGGGTCTGAGAGTTGTAGGTTTGTACTGTCAGCCTACCTAGGGAAATATTCGGCAAAGACAAGATACCTGAGCCTTGCCCCAAATTTTGGACCAAAATCCTATCCCATCTGTTGCTGTCCCTATCAGTCTAGTAATGCTGGGGTACTGAGGTGCATCTGGTATGGTCAAAGAGCTGTGATGATAATGGAGACAGGAATGAACTTGTGACCCTTGTGAGGCAGGCAAAGGACTAAAGGTTGAGCCATCTAACTGCAGAGCTGTGTAAATGGACAATTGATGGAGAAGACGTGCACACCCCACCTTGGCAGCTGCTACTTATGGCTGCCTGGCTGGACTAGGGATGTTGGCAGCTAGTGGACTAACCATTAAGCAGGAACTTATTGGTTAGCGCTGTCGAGTAGTCACTTCCCTCCCCCTCCTCCTCCTCCCCCAGCTGCCGCTCTGCATTTGAGAGCACAGGGCAGCCGACTCACTGAGATGCTGGGTCCGTCCCTGCTTCGCGGGTCTCTCATCACTCAGCATACACCCTCTCCCCTCCCAGTTGCCGCTCTGCACTGTACAGCACAGGGAAGTCTTCTATTAAGAGACCCCTGGAGCAGAGACAACCCAGTGTCTCTGATCCCGAGGCCAGACCCGTGATTCCTGTGGCTCTAGGCCTGGGGAGGTGGGAGCAGTGTATTATGTAAACATCTTACTGCTAGTAATTTAGTCCGGTTGTTTGTGCCAGAGCCCTTTCTAGAAGGATTACGCAGTGGTGAGTATAGTGATGTGCAGCATGGCCAGCCAGTAAACTACCAACAGGTGAAGTTGGTGGTGGTGGTCCCCATAATTTGCCCTGTGGATTAGTATGCCAGGCCCTGATGGGGGTGGGAGAACTTTGATTTTATCTCTGCTGCTTTTCTCTATCAGATGTTTGACTTCTCCTCCTTCGCAGAGATTCCCATTGGCAGTTGCAGGGGGAGAGTGAGGGAGGGAGAGCTCTGCGGCATGGGCACAGGTCAATTGCAGCTTTAAACTAGTGTGAATGGTGGCTTCTCTGTAAGGTGACATCTTCAGACCCTGCTCTGAGGGCGCGAGTAACTCAGCCAGAGGTTAGGGCCGTTACAGGAGCAGATGGGTGAGGCTTGGGGCCGGTGAGGTGCAGGAGAGCAGACTAGATGATCCCGATGGTCCCTTCTGTCCTTAAACTGTGAGTCTGTGAACCTTCTTATTAGGGGGCCTACAGTTGAGCGCTGTGGATACGGGTTTTCTCGCCTCTTGCAGTGGTTGCCTTGTGCACAGGGCTACGTTGCAGATGCCCTAGGTGAGACTTTAGCTTGGTGCCCAAGAGCATGGCTGGGCCACAGCCCAGTGCATTGTGCTGAATGACCCCATAGCTTCCACGATGGACTAGGCTTCCTGGGGCAAGGGATTGATTTGTTGTCTCTCCCCCTTCCGGCAAGGCCCAGTGATTGCTGTGCTCTCTTTTTCTCTAGCACCATCAGGGCAGATGACTTCACAGCGCAACTCTTTAAAATCTACACGCAAGTGCTGAAAGAAGGGCTGGTGCAGGTATCCCAGAGGGAGTCTTCTCCGTCCTCCCCTCCTTTCTTTCCGAAGGGAAGTTTGGGGGTTGGTAATTTGACAGCGCTCTCAAATTGTTGGGGGAGGGGTGGTTCTGAATTGTTCAGTTACTCTAGGTTATGGTATCTTGGCCACTTACACCATAAGAGTAAATTGTCTCATTCAGGAGACCATTCAGCAAACATGCCTCTAAGTATTCTTGCTGGGTATTGCTGGAAACAGCCTTTAGCCGTGTCTGAGCGCGCCACTTGTGTTGGCTCTGAAAGTCTCCAAAGAACTTTGTGATGAGTGCCCTGGGGTGTGCAGGAGGCAGACTCAATGCTGCGGATAGCCCTTCTGTGTAGCTGCATCACTCTGGACGCCTTCCCCCACACTCTTGCACTGCAGTTGCATCTGTTACCTTCTCCTGCCATGAGATGTATGCCAAGGGCTTCAGCTGGGGTCTTTCCAAATAATTGCAGGAAATTGAAGGACCCAACCCCTGCCAAAACTCCCCTTGACACCAGCAGGGGGTTATTGGACCTGAGCGAAGGTTGCTGGAACCATCCTGAAAAGGGGGCTGTTAAGTGACTTTGTCAAAGTGGCCTGTGGAAAGCAAAGGCCCCTGCTCTGCTGGTCAGAGGTGGAGGTGGGGATCTCTGTGTGCTATTTTTTTTTTTCCCCCCTCTTGTTCAGACGGTCTTCTTGGGAATAAACCGCTCTGATTACATGATTGACCATGGTGCAGATGGCACTCCAGCACTGAAGCAAATTGAAATAAACACCATTGCTGCCAGCTTCGGAGGCCTTACCTCGAGAACCACGGCTGTGCATCGGTACGGGAACCTCCTTGAGACGAAAGCCAGCGCAGGACCCGTAGCCAGTGAGGAGGGTTCAGCAAACCATCACTGCACGTTTTCTGTCTCTGCCGCTGTATGGCTCTCTGCACTCGCGGCTTCTTGCGCGAGAAATATGCAAGTGAGGCGAAGCGTGGAATATCACTGAGCTGCCATTTTTGCAGAAGAGGCTCTTGCTCCAGAAGGAGTGGTCTATACTGCCCCCTCTTGCGCAAGAAAACCCCTCTTGGGCAATGCTGTTATTCCTGAAAATAATCAGGGTAGCAGCCTTGCGCAAGAGGGGGCAGTGTAGACGCTCCTTCTGGAGCAAGAGGTGGCAGTGTAGACGCTCCTTCTGGAGCAAGAGCCTCTTCTGCAAAAATGGCAGCTCATTAGGTATGCAAATGAGGCTCAGTGATACTCCATGCTTTGCCTCATTTGCATATTTCTCGCGCAAGAAGCCGCGAGTGTAGGCCTAGCCAATGCGCCCTGTTGTAACCTCTGAATCGCCACAAGCTCTCTGAGTTCTGTCTTACAAATCCTAGGTCAGCGCAGATCATCATGTGATTTTTTTTTTTTTTCGTATTTCTCTTGCATCACAGGCACGTATTGAATGTTTTGGGGAAGTCCAAGGAGGCGTCGAAGTTACTGGACAATAATCCATCCAAGGGGATTGCCGCAGGCATTGGGAGAGCTTGGGAGCTCTATGGCTCAGCCAGGTGAGGGAGAAGTGGCCTGTGGGTGGGACGATGTCAGATGAGCACATGGTTATTTCTCTTTTCCAAGGGGTCTCTGGAATACTTCTTTAAACTGAGTAGTGCTCTCCTTCCCCTCCCATCCCAGGGAAAGGAGATCTTCAGGGTCCCTGGGCTGGCCATATGCCGCTTTCTTTAGAATCACAGTATCCAGCTGCTCCCAAAAGGTGGGGAAGACTTGTACCTCTAGAAATGTTTTTGTAGCCATTCTGGAATTTTCCTGTTTCTTCCCCTAGTGCTCCTGCCCAGAGCTGCTTTTTAGTAAGATCATGACACTGCCCTTTAGAAGTGGACTGGGTACTGGAAAACATCAGTTGGAAAGCATTGCAAGAAACGTACCACCAAAGTGAATTTAAAAGATGAAATCTTTTAGCTAGAGGCCTATGGTTCTGGGTGGGGTCTGTCTGTTTCAGACTCTGAAGCAGATCTTGGGATGTATGTTTCAGAGCTGTGGTGATGTTCCTGGTTGAAGACACCCAAAGGAATATTTTTGACCAACGCTGCATAGAAAATGAGCTGTGGACCAGGTAACTGCTTATCATTTTAGGATGAAACAACTTGTTTAATCCCACTTTACCAGGAGCCAGCTCATACAACTAATTTATTTAAAAAAAACAACCCCTTTCCTCTCTTTGTTGGGAGTGTCTTAGAGCAGTGTTTCTCAACCTTTTTTTTATAAAGTACCCCCTTTAAAAAAATAAAATAAAATAAATTGTAAGTGCCCCCCTGTTCCTACAGTTTTCAGACACAGAATTTTTTTTCTACTATTACAACACATTTGTTTAAACAACTTAATTGTAGCTGGGCAGGCGATGACATTTTTGGGTGTAAAAGTACAAAAATAATAAAGCGCTGTAAAACTTAAAACAAATTCCGTTTTCTCCAAGTTTCAGTTGTGTTGACGCACCCCCAGACTTCTCTCAAGTACCCCTAAGGGTACTGGGACCCCGGGTTGAGAAACACTCTTAGATTAACAATGAGCATGTAAAACTTGAGAGTGCGTTTAAGAACTTGTCAGGGTTACTTGGCATTTCAGTCTGGGCAATAGACAGGCACTTGGCCTCTGAGGACAGAGTAACCCTGCCGCTCGCGGGCCGTTCTGTATTGGAGCAGTGCTGTTGTGCTGGGGGGTATTTGGTTGTACGCTGCTTCCCCTTTTATCCTGCCCCTGCTTTCAGATCCACATTGAGCGCTAAGCCTGTCACAATTCTTTATCCTCCTAGTGGCTTCTCAAAGGAACCTGCTACCGTTACATTGGTGTGAAAACCTAGGGACAGGTCTTCTGCTCTTTGGGCTGCTTTGTGCTAAGAATGTTACTAAGACGGGCAGGCATGATGGTGACAGTCTAGTTATGGAAAGGGGGACGCATGATTATGGACCAGCTACAGACCTTGTTAATGGCCTGGCCTGCCCTAGCCAGTCTGCGGAAGATCTGTTAGTGAAGCGACCTTGGAAAGAAGAGGGGCCGGGAAGCCTTACCCGTTTCCTCTGGGGGCTAAAGCCATTGGGGGTGGACGTTCCACTCACGAGCTCGCTTGCAGATATGGCTTTTTGCCAAGGTCAGTGACTCACTCCTCTCTTAAAGGAATATCCGGGTGATCCGGAGACGGTTTCAAGAGGTGTTTGAAAAGGCGTCTTTGGATAAGGACAGGAGATTGTACATGTAAGTACTTGCCAAGGCCCGGCCACAACGTTCTGCTGTGTTCTTAGGGCATTGGGCTCACACCTGTGTCCAGACTGGCCAAGGTGGATCTCTGACAGGCTTGTTACATCACTCATAAATGGCAATTTTCAGTCCAAATTGGTGGCATAACCCTCTCTTCAGTCGACTTCACGCTTTTATCCTCTTCAGTAAGAAAACTCACTGGCACTGCAATAGTTCTAGCAGTGTTTCTGTGTTGGGTTTGTGTGGGGGGAGCATAGATAAACTAGTCCATATAAAGGCCTACGTTCCCGCTTCCAAACCAGAGCCCTGAGGCCCCATGGGGATGGTGGTTTCCTTTGTGGGTATGTAAACAGCTTAGCTATTCTAGAGCAGTTTTTTCTCAAGCTTTTTGATACCAGGGACTGACTTGCTGTTGCCTTACACTGTGTCTGGCAGGTCTCCGTGACCAGCGCCAGTCCACTGACTGGTGGTTGGGGAACGCTGCCCTGAAGAGCACTCGTTTGCTTACAGGCAGTGTGACGCGCTTTACGTTTCCAGGAGAAATATCAGGAGAACGTTATTGCATAGCTATTGGTACCATCATAAGTAGCACTGGTTCCTTCCTGGGCTCAGCTTTTGTAACGGCCAGCTCATTTGCTAGTTGGTGACGGTCTCGCTGTTTCTGTCTCAATCTTCGGTCTCCTGGAGTCCTGACATAGGTCAGACTGCTGAAATCCTAGTGTGACCGTCGCAAAATCCAAATACGTGCTGCTTATTGGTTCTGGGTGGGTCCTGAGCGTGCTGCCCAGCCGTGAAAGGGGCGAGTCCTGTCCCAAAGCTACTTACGCGGTTACATTTGCTCTTCTCCAGCTTCCCATTTGAAGTTTCTACAGCAATGCGCTCCCTCTTTCCCCCCCCCCCTCCCCCACACTACTGTGTATTCCTGCAGGAATTCCTCCTTTCAGACTGACTTTGTTAGTCATTCTTGGGAGATGACCAGCCTCTCCAGCTGCTCCTCACTGAGCAGACAGAGCTGCTCTTGTGCTAGCTGCTGGAGCAGAGAGTGGCTGTGTGAAAATCCCCTGCATTATTGAGCTCTCAGAGTTGCTCCCATCTGAGACTTAATGGCAAGTCTGGCGAATGGGTTGAGTGACTTGTGAAGTGACGCCTCGTGCTGGACGGCAGTTGGGAGATGACCAGCCTCTCCAGCTGCTCCTCACTGAGCAGACAGAGCTGCTCTTGTGCTAGCTGCTGGAGCAGAGAGTGGCTGTGTGAAAATCCCCTGCATTATTGAGCTCTCAGAGTTGCTCCCATCTGAGACTTAATGGCAAGTCTGGCGAATGGGTTGAGTGACTTGTGAAGTGACGCCTCGTGCTGGACGGCAGTTTCTCCACCTGTGGTCCATGTGTTGGCTAGTGCTCCGCCGAGAGCAGGCAAGTCACGTGCTGCCTCCCTCGTCCAGCTGCCGGGGTTGCATCCAGGCTCCTCTGCAAAGAGAAATCTGGGTGCCCATGGAAACGGAGAGGACAGTCATCTCTGTCCTCTCTCCCCTGGAGCGGCAGATGGAGCCAGAGGGATCAGGGTGACGGGACGAGGCAGAGCCCCTAGAGAGAAGAAAAGGAGAGCATGTCCAAGGACCAGAGGGAGAGGGGGGACCAGACTGTGGGCGTGGTGTTTGGCTTTGATGCAGTGTGCAGGGTGAATTGTACAGGAGGGCTCTCTGATGAGCATAACGGTTGCTTCTGACTTTAAAACACATGGATTTACACTAGAGAAGGGAAGCAGCCAGCAGAGACGAGCGGGCAGGAGAGCCGAGCATTGGTGAGACATCCAGAGGAGACAGTGGCTGAAATCTTGGGCCTGCTGAAGTCCAGGGGCGTTTGCCATTACTTCCCCCCGCTTGTGGCCGGGAGCAGGAGGCTGCCATTAAATGTAGCACAGAATACATCAGTGCTTTCCTGCTTGCGCTTCTCCATAGAAGCAGTTGCTGGAATTGCTGCAGGGATGTTGTGCAACAACTAGGAGGGGAGATGGTCTGTGCACAGACCGGAGGGACTCTTAAAAAGCTGCATAATTGCTGCCCTAGGAGGAGTTTGTTCTGAATGTTCCATTTCTCAAATCGCTGATATTTTAATGCATCCCAGAGGCTCCTAGCGACTCTTCGGTGAAAAGCCTCGCATCCGTGCGATACGCTGCGAGCTACGCACGAGCATAGCAATGTCTGTGCGCCTCCTTCACTGCCACTTGCTTTCAGGCCCTCATGTTACAGCCTGAGGGCTGATGGAGGCTGGATTGATATTGCTGGTCTTTGCTCTAGGGAAGGCCAAGAGGTTGCAGTGGTGTATTACCGAGAAGGCTATGTGCCACAGAACTATAACAAACAGGTGGGTACCGGCTGCTTTTAATTAACTTCACTTTGTATTTGTTTTGTATCCTGAATGGAATCGCTCATCTGTAAATTACCTTGGGAATCCCCTAATTATCTGAGCTTCCGTGCACCCCTGGCATTTGGCTATTGCAGGGGTGAGGAATATCTGGGCATGGGAACAGATTTCTTCTCGAGTTTCTCGCTGCTCATTGTCATGTTTATAGAAGCAGTTGAATGCCTTTACTAAGCTGAAGCCGACCCATTGGCTAGGAATGTATAGGGCTGTCCCTCTGTCTAGCGGTAGTGCCTGACCTGGAGAAATGCATTAGGACCGCTTCGGAAAAGTCCCTAGACTGAAATGGATTGTTTAGGGCACTTCCAGAGCTTCCACCTCGATCACGTTAGCAACGCTGAGCTGTCCGTCCAGTGGAGAATAACCAGGTTAACGTGCTGCTTGTCGGTAGCAGCAAGGGACCCCCTGGCTTTGGTCTGCATGCCTTCCGTGTGGGCCTTTCCTGCCCGCTGAGCCTGCATGCCGATGGCTAGCTCCAGGAAGTGGAGTGCACCCGGGACCAAGTGACTCTTGTTCTGTCTCCCCTTAGAACTGGGAGGCGCGGTTGTTGATGGAAAGGTCCAAAGCGGTGAAGTGTCCTGACATCGCTACCCAGCTTGTTGGGACCAAGAAAGTGCAGCAGGAGCTGAGCCAGCCAGGAGCCTTGGAGAGCTTGCTGCCCGACCGGCCTGAGGCAGTTGCTCGGTTAAGAGCGACCTTTACTGGCCTCTATTCCCTGGATATGGTAAGTAGGCTCGTGTGTGCGATGCGTGAAGCAGCACTTTGTTCCGCCTGCTTGGGTTTGATTGTGCGAGCTGTCAGTCACTCTGCCGCCCAGGACACAGGGTGACAGCCGCTGGGAACTCTCAACCCCGCGTCCCCTCCAAGGCTTTGAGCCTCCCTTTCTGGCCTCTTCCGCGAGCTGTGCTCTCTCTGCTCCCCTCCAGAGCGCAGCCAGCTGGCTGCGTGTCCCGAGGCACAGGAATACGGATCGTGCTCTCTCTCACCCACTAGGGCGAAGAAGGTGACAGGATGGTTGCTATGGCCATTGCTGACCCGGAGCGTTTCGTGCTGAAGCCTCAGCGGGAAGGAGGAGGTATTCAGCTTCCCTGAGGTGGGGCCTGTGAGCTACAGAGCCCAGCAGCCTTTGCCTTTCTCTCGGACGTTTGCTTTGTATGGTCATTGCAGTGCCTGGGCCTTAGGGCACCATAGCGGGCCCTTTCCCAGCTGTGGCACTAGGTGACTTAAGGCCCTCTTAGCCCCTGTGTGAGCATCGTCTGTGCTGCCCAGGCAGAACCGGCATCTTCCTCTTGCCAGCACCCCGTGTTGGCTTGTCAGGGTTAGCCTTTGCCTTTCTCTCGGACGTTTGCTTTGTATGGTCATTGCAGTGCCTGGGCCTTAGGGCACCATAGCGGGCCCTTTCCCAGCTGTGGCACTAGGTGACTTAAGGCCCTCTTAGCCCCTGTGTGAGCATCGTCTGTGCTGCCCAGGCAGAACCGGCATCTTCCTCTTGCCAGCACCCCGTGTTGGCTTGTCAGGGTTTGGGCCTCAGTGCTCACCCCCCAGGCACCAGGACCCAGATCAACAAAGCCAGGCCCATAACATGGAATCTGAAATTCCCTGGGGAGCCAGTGCGGATCCTTCCAGCAGGGTGACTGCAGACTGTGTTGCTGGGGGGCCATTTGAGTTTCTTCAGGGCCATCTGTGACTTGCTGAAATGTACGATTGTGTGTTCTCAGGGAACAACCTCTATGGGGAAGAGCTCAAGCAACTTCTGGAGAAGATCAAAGACAGCCCCGAGAGGACCTCCTATATCCTAATGGATAAGATCACACCTCGGCCCTCGCTGAACTGCTTGCTCAGGGCTCACAGCCCCCTGGAAATCTCCAGCTGTATCTCTGAGCTGGGGGTGTTTGGTGTCTACATCAGGTGAGGAGTCGGCTCTTTGCAATAGTGCTGTGCCCAGCTCTCAGCCCTCCCCTGGGTTCTGGTGAATTCACACCGCTCTGGGAGGCTGCATTCCAGTGCAGCCGCCAGGTGAGTGTGCGGACGTGAGAGTGCATAACAGAAATGCAGCTGTTAGCCACTCACAGGCGAGGTTGGGTCTGTGTAGTGCACGGCTACGTCAGTGGCACACCTGCACTCTGCTAGGGCCGGCCTGTCGTGCTTCAGCCTACGGCTAACTCCTGCCGCTCGCTGGGGCCCTGCCGCCTGAAGTAGAAAGGTTAGTGAGCCGGGGCAGTCTGCGAGCCTGGGGCTGCAGAGGAAAGGCTGACGATGGCAGGTCTCCACAAACCCTGCGCCGCTCAGTTCTGCAGCGGCTTCGAAGCTATTCCCGGCCAGGGGGTTTCATGGCATGCCCCATGCCCTGAGCAGGACCGCTAAGACCAGTGCTTCTCAGCCAGTGGTACCAGGACCCTTAGGGGTACCTGCGAGGAGTCTGGGGGGGGGGTACATCCACAACTGAACTTGGGAGAAAACTGAACCTGTCTGTTTTCCAGCACTTTATTCTTTTTGTACTTTTTACACCCAAAAATGTCAGCACCCGCCTGGCTACGATTAAGTTGTTTGAACAAATGTGTTGCAATGGTAGAAAAATGTTTTGTGTGTGTGAAAACTGTACGTACTGGGCGTACTTACAATTTTTTTTAAAGGGGGTACTTTATGTAAAAAACAAATAGCTTGAGAAACACTGGCTTAGAGCACAGCTTTCCCTGGGCTCCGTGTGTTCCTGCCGTGTCGGCTGCTGCTTTGACTACTCCCCCCCCCCCCCCTTTGTTTAAAGAAAACAGCCCCTCCCAGGGCCCTGAGAAACACGGCCATGCTTTCCAACCCCACGGTGTGTGAGCGGAGTGACAGACCTGTCCCAGCAGCACTCGCAGCCCCGGCGTGCCCCCGTGAGGAAGAGCACACGGCCAGCACGCCTCCAGCAAGGGGAGCTCTTGAAGAAACTGAGAAATGGAACTAGCGCTGTAGGAAGTGTCTCCGTTGTGCAAACATTTGAACGCGGCCGCGGCTTTCGTTTCCTGCCACGTGTTAAAGGCCTGACGAATCTCCTCATGTGCCCCTGGAGCGCTCTGGGCGGGGCCGGGGGCCGCTGGCTGTGGGATTGGGCTGGTCTCTGGGTGAAGCAGGTGCAAGCTGACTCAGGGGCAGGGTCCGTTGCTGAGTCCCCCAGCACCGAGCAGTCCTGGCCCAGGACTGGAGCTCTAGGCCCTACCGTCGTTCAGGTCTGTTCTCC